GGTATGCCCTCGGCCGTGCCCCTGCCCTCGGTGTCCTCGACGCGCCTCCTACTGCCTTCCAATGTACCCTTGCCGCTCGCCCAGTGCGATAACTACAATGCCTATCTGGGATCCACAGTGCACACGCCGGTCAAACGATATGTGCCCACACCGCCGCCAGCTGGCGATCTCTATGCCGACCTCAGCATGTCGTCGTCTTCGCCCGCGGGCAATCTGCCCACTCCCGCCGCCTCCGCATCCGCAACGGGATCCGGATCATCGGCGCAATCACAGTACGCCAATATGCCGTACAGTTACCGCAACAAGTGCTGCCACAGCGAGACCTCGCACGGCAGCCTAAGCCGCACCTCGCAGACGTACATCGGGAATGTGAGCTGCTCGCCGGCCGCAGCCTGCACCTCGCCATCACCGGCACCCTCCTCGACCATGTCGATGGTTTTGTCGGCGGCCAGCTCTTGTTCGCCGATAACTACTGCCAATAATCTAGCCCAGCGCGGCGACCAAACGGTGATGTCGCGACACCGGGGCGGCGGCGGTGAGGATAGCAGCGACTCTATGGTCGTGGTGGCACCAGGAGGAGCTGCCTCTGGGGCCCAGATCGAGGACAACCCATCGGGGACGTGCCTGCACTGCAATACGGTGCGGCGGACCACAGGCGTGCATCAGACCACTCAGACTACGGGGCCCATTAGCCCGGTGCCCATATCCCTGCCCGTGCCCATGCCCATTCCGGTGATTTCAAGCCTCAACGAGCAGATGCAGCAGAATGCCGGCATGGATCAGTCCAGCAACAACAGCAGCCTGGTGTCCGTGCCCGTGCAGGGGAAGCGGCACGATGCAATGGGCCTTCAGGGATCAGTTTCCGGTTCCGGATCAGGGTCCAACCAGCACCAGATGTACCGCAGCCAGATGGTTAGCAATCCGAGGCTGCAACACATCCATCACCAGACGCAGCAGCACCAGTCGCTGCAGGTTCTCCCACAGCCGCAGCTGCATCATCTGTCGTGCAAGAAACGACTCGGCATCTATCTACGCCGCACCACCTCACAGTTTTTCGGCGTGGAACCGAGCACAGAGGCGGTGGACTGTGCCCTCTGGCAAGGACGTCATCGCCGGCTCGCGATCCGCTGCTTCGGGATGTTCGACACCGAATTGGAGTACCACATGCAGCAGGCAGGCGGCGAGGATATGCAGGGCAATGGAAATGGCAGCGGCGGGAATGGCAATGGCAACGGAAATGGCTATGCTCCCGATCGCCCCGACATCTTGCCCGTCCAGGATGCCCTTGGCATGGACATGACGCTGGGCGGCGATAATCGGCGGCAGAAGTGCTACACCAATCGCGACTTCCTCGCCGGGGAGTTCGTGGAGCGCAAGGCATCGGTGGGCTACATGTTCGTGGCGATGGTCAGCTACTTGGTGCACATGTTCAACAAGCGGCGGCCCATCCAGATGCACCGAGTGCGCTGTCCCTGGCAGTGGTCGCGCAGCTTCGCCCCGCTCCATGTAACATCGCAGCAGGCGGACACCGACAGCCTGACGGATGGCTTCGAGGCGATCATCGAGGACGAGGTCTTCTTCGACAGTCCCTGCGAGATAACTGCCAACGGGCTGAACGATGAGGGCTCCGAGATCGGCGGGGGCGGCGGCAGACAGGCCTCGTCAGCTGTTAAGGCCCGCCCCTGCACAGGTGATCCATCCGCCGGCAGCGGCAATATGGGTGTGGGGGTCAGTGTCTATATGGCGGAACGCCAGCAGAATGGCTGGAGAACGTCCGCCTTGAACAACGGCGGCAATGCCAGCAATGATATCAACCTAACCGGCGGCAACGGCGGCGACCAGGCCTCCCATCAGCCGGGTGGCGGCCACATACCGCTTTGCAGCTCTGTTTCCAGCCAAATGCAGCCGGCGATGCGCACTTCGCACTCCACCAGCTCGACGTGCAATCGGGGCAACCGGATAACAGCCCAACTTCTTGACGGCGTTCTGGAGAATTCACGACGCCCGCCGCTGCGGTGCATCAAGTATTTCTCGGTCAATGACCTGGACGACCGCACCGACCATCGGCCCTTCTTCACCTACTGGATCAACACCGTGCAGATCGTGGTGCTCATTCTCTCCATCATCTGCTACGGTGTGGCCCCCATTGGCATCGGATCGGAGCAAAAGACGGGCCAGGTGCTGGTGACCAGCCTCAGTCTGCAGACGGTGCAGCATGTGGAGCAGCGCAACCTGTGGATCGGACCCAGGAACATCGATCTGGTGCACATGGGAGCCAAGTTTGCGGCCTGTATGCGTCGGGATGTCAAGATTACGGAGGTGGTTACCAAAACTCGGCGCCACGAAAGGGAAACGGCCTGTTGCATACGCAACGATGATTCCGGATGCGTGCAGAGCTCTCAGGCGGAGTGCTCCATAAGGGGTCTCTTTCCAACGGTAGGGATTAGGGGTAGAAACTCTATTATATTATTCACTAACGTGGATTTTCTATTTCAAAGAAATCCATATCGACTTGGAAGAAGTGGTCTCCGAGCGAGTCGGGACCAGGAGGACGAATATCCGGGTCTGTCTGCGGACTGGATCCCAAATTCTGCGATGCTCCAGCTTCGATAGCTCCCTACGAATGGCCCGACGATATCACCAAGTGGCCCATTTGCCGAAAAACCAATTCGTTTACCCAACGATATCGGTACAAGGATCACACCTCGGAGCACATGGTTTGCGAGGTCATTGGTCATCCGTGTTGCACGGGCCTCTACGGAGAGTGTCGGATAACGACCCGCGAGTACTGTGACTTTATAAAAGGGTATTTCCATGAGGAGGCATCGCTGTGCTCTCAGGTATATATCAACCTAATATATAGTTAAAAAAGTCACTTATTTCTAATAACACTTTCTATTTCTTACAGATATCGTGCCTGAATAACGTGTGCGGCATGTTCCCATTTATATCCGTAGAGACGCCGGATCAGCTCTACAGACTGCTCACATCGCTATGCATGCATGCCGGCATTCTTCATCTGGCCATAACGCTAATCTTCCAGCACTTGTTCCTGGCGGATTTGGAGCGTTTGATTGGAACAGTCCGTACTGCCATCGTCTATATACTGTCGGGCTTTGCTGGGAATCTAACGAGCGCCATTCTAGTACCACATCGCCCCGAGGTAGATTAATATTATATTATAATATTATATTACTATTCTATACTATTCTATCGAGCTCCGATTTTGACATTGTGTCCCAACCATCCCTTATACAGTTTAGGGGTTGACCCATGTAACGGCCGTTTTTGGACATAAAAATTGTCCTTGCAGGGTATTATAATTTCAGTCAGAAGTTTGCAACGCAGTAAAGGAGACGTTTCCGAACCCATAAACCATATATATTCTTGATCAGCATTAACATGCGAATCTTTCTAGACATGTCCGGAAGAAATCGATTTTTTGGCCAGTTTTGCAAAATTTTATAAGGGGTTACATCATTAAAATTAGCAAAAATGGCAAAAAATTTTGATTTCTTAAAATTTTAAATTTGGTATGCAGTTTTTTTAAATTAATAAAAACTAACACAAAACTGCTTTCCGAATCGAAATTAGTGCATTTTTGGCTTAGTTATGATATATTTTAATTGTTACCTGCAAGGATATTCAAACTTTGGCTGGCCAAAGTTTCTTTCTTGTTTTGTTTTAGTTCACTTTTTTGTGAAGAGCTTTGTAATTATAGGAAAGGAAACAGGAAGAAAACAGCACATAAATTTCCCCTCTTTAATCAGGTTGGACCCTCGGCCTCTCTCAGCGGAGTGGTGGCCTCACTGATCGCTTTGCTGGTGTGGATGCACTGGAAGTATCTGCACAAGCCGCACATCGCCCTGTTCAAGCTGCTGCTCCTTTGCAGCGTGCTAGTTGGGATCGGAACCCTGCCTTATCAGCTGAACTTTCTGGGATTGCTGGCCGGCGTGATTTGTGGCTGCCTTCTGACCGTATCCCTGGTGCCATTCACCACCTTCTCGAAATACGGACGCAAGAAAAAGGTGAGATAAATTATAGAATAAATATTTAAAATAAATTATGAAATAATACACTTGTTTCTTACAGATAAATCTAATTTGGACTTGCGTCCTGTTTCATGTCATCGTTTACACCGCCATGATTGTCACGTTTTATATTCACCCAAGTGAATTCCATTCAATTAGTTTTGTAGATATGTTTAGTAATAACAACGGATACGACAATTTCACCAACGGTGAACATCATGGCGTTGATATTGTAAGCAGTAATACGCGATACTCCCAGACGCAGAACTCCCAGTACTATTATCATCATCATTCCGACGACATCATTAGGAAGAGCGTAACATTCACCGAAAAGGCTCTCGTTTCGGTGGGTATATTTGAATAATATTTTAATAATAACTTAATCTTTAATCGCTTTGCTTTTCGTTGCAGCACATTTTGTATCCCGCTGCGCCGTCGCGAAAACAAAGCGCCGCTCAACAGCAATGGCAGGAAGTAGAGTTTAGTCGTTCGTTTAATCACCTTTCAAACTATAGTGATCGAATTAAGAAAAGTATTGGAAATATATCAAAGCTTAAGCAAGTGTTCACTTCACCCATTCGATTCTCCAACAACAACTCTAATCTTATGACTGAATTAACATCGGTGCACTCCGAAAGTAATAACCAGAAGTACTTAGGTTACATCAATAACGATAATAACAATACTGAATTCAATGTCCTTTAATATTTTACATATTAATCGAATCGAAAACCATTCTCATGACAACAATTTGACAAGTTTGAGTGCACAAAATAGATAACAATTATATGAATAATGCATTAAATGTCTATTTATGTATGTATAATCCGGAACTTCAAATGAATAAAGAATAATTAGCCTTAAAAATCTTGATCAACTGCACTTATTTATATAGAAGTGGACTGGGAATTGGGGAAGATCTTCCTATCATTCCTTCATTTTATAAATAACACCCCGAAGACATTAAAATTTGGGTTTTGAAATGCTGTATTTTGCAGAATATACCAATGACTATGTACATATTATACATATAAATATATTTAGTTAACTCAACTGAGGTTACAGAGAGCCCGAAAACTGTGTAATTAGATTCACATATAACATAGAACTTAAATTTAGAATCAGAGAATAGGGATAAGAACTTGCTACGATATTCGATATATATTTTTATATGTACATCATCTCGGCCATTGTGGACATCTTTTTTGGAATATGCACGATGGTGTCGAAATAGCTGGCCAGCTCTCCAATGGTAACATCATCGCAGTTGCCGGGATTCGTGGAATTGTAGCTGGCCTGTTGCGAGCATGTCGCTCCCATTAGCGAGACGGCTGACAAAGATCTTGCGGCAGCTGAGACGGCGAAGGCAGCATCACTCTTTTGGCTCTGAAGGGGTCCTCCTGCTGCAGCCTCTGGACTGGCCTTTGACGAACTGCAGTTCCTCGACAAGTGCCAACTGTTGGCCAAGGGGCTCCTCTTCGATTCGTCGAGCATGGCATTGCATTCGCCAATCACACAGTCACGGAAAGTGCATGTGCCACTCGTGTTTGGCAGGCTTAAATCATCGCTCGCCTGCGATTGTTCACTGGTGTCCTCTCTGGGTCTCGGGACGAACATCCTGCCGCTGCGAACCACACACTTGCCGTGCTCGCAGCCGTACAAGGATCGTAGCATCGGCTGACGAAATATGTTCTTTCGTTTTTGCGAATGCTTCTGCACACCGTGGGAGCAGCTCGAGGGATTTATTATATCAAACGAATCGGCTGGAACAAAGGACTCGTCCTGCTTGCAGTCCTGCAGGCAACTTTCGGATCGACGCCTGGGCCTGCATTTCCAACGGTGTTTGTCACTTGATGTGGACTCAGGGTTATCCAATGGATCAAATCCATTCTCTGCATCGTAAAATGGGTTCCTCTCCACAGTAGTAGTCTTTAGGAGAGGATGAGTCTGTGTTATTTTCAACTTGTCCAGGTCAGCTGGCAGCTCTTCTGAGGCCATTTTGTGCACAAAATCCGTATATCTCGGACTTATTCTTCTCGGCTGATGTGTTTTCTTTACGATTTCTGTTGTTTTGAGAGTCTCAAAGCACTCTTTTTCTTCGTTTTTCTTATTTTTTGTATGTGTTTATGTGTAGGGCTGACAAACAGTAAAGGTGACGCCACGGCCACTCCAATTTCTAGGGATGGGAAGGCGCCGTCAATTTAATTTATTTGGAACGATGAGAAAATGTGAAACTGTTATAATGGTGTGCTGGGATAATATTTAATTAATTTAAATTAAGTATAAACAGACTGAGTTTACTTAATTATTTATTATAATCTATTTTTTTAAGATTGCCATATTTATATATTTGGATAAATATTTAACTTTCAATAACAACATTATTTTTGAATCGTATAAACAAAGTAATATTACCTTTAATTATATCTTTCAGTACAAATATTTAGTGTTGAAATTACAGATATACATTTTTATCAGAACTTACAACTAAAATTATAACACCCTGCAAGGCTATACAAATGCCGAATGAAATCGGTCCAGTGGTCCTTAGAGAATACCGAAATTGATTCTTATTTTTAAATAGTAACGATACTATTAGGATAAGGAGAAAGTTTTTCGTGTGATTTACCGAATCAAATTCTTTGAAAAATCTCCAATTTGAATTATAAATAATTTATAAACTAATTAAAAAACTTGTATTTAAAACATAAAAGCTTCTTGCAATCATAAATTCTTAGATTCTTCGAATTTTTGGGGCTTTTCTTATCGCTACATTGAATATAAAGGTAGTTTGATTTTGGCACTAAGTGTTGTTTAATAAAGACATCAATTCGGAGAAATGAAGCCTGCGGCTCTTAATCGAAAACACTGATAAGGTCGCAGCTTTACTGAAAAGTCAGCGCAAAAAACCAAATTTTGTTCAGTGAGTTTTTAGCATTGGAACAGAGCAGAAGCTTTGATTTCGTTGCCATGAAGAGAAAACTTTGCGTTTTTCTGGTCTCTGTCTTAGCATGTCAGTATGTATTCTCCTCCACAGCCTGGTGGGAAGGGTTAGAAGAACCGATCTTTAAGCTGACTCAAACGGATAAGCGTTTGGAAGCCATTGTCAGGCAGATTGATGACCTGAATCGACTGAACAGGTCCAAGGTGAGTCCTGGTTTTATTAGTAAAAATAAAATTATATAAACCCTCCGATAGAATCGCCATATTGCGGCATTCGCCGTTGGATCTGACGGCTTTATGGATTACAAATTGAGCTTTAGCTCGGAGTTTGATGATATTTATAAAGACATAGGATGGATTGACCACCTATACAAGTATATAGGAGAATATGAAACGGCCAGGTTTGAAAATCATACCCTAATTCGTTTTGCTGAAGGCACTATTTCCAATGAACGCAACGAGAATACGATGGAAAAGTTGCATGCTTCCTTCTTCGGAAGAGAGGACTTTCCCTTCGGAGGGAGGAATCTACTGAAATCCGTGGCAGAAGGCTATCAGGTATGTAATATAAGTTGGAACCAACTCCAATTAATACATTTGGTTATGGTTGTAGAAATATCCGAATAGGACTTGCAGGACGCCACAGTCCTACCAACAACATCTGTACTTGCTATATGTGGACATCGCCCTCACCGAACTAAAGTCTCTTGTTATGCTAGAGTGGTCCTGGCTACTTCTCGGACAATTCGGCAGGACCGAGTTCACCGTGCAGCAGGAAATGGTGCGGGAGGGCTTCAAGCGCAGGATGAACCGCACTCGAATGCTGATCAAGGACCAAATGAGCGGTGCTGATCAAACCGTTTGGCGTTGCAATCCCCAAAGGCCCAAGGCCGGAGTCACCTACGACGAGGTCACCCGCCTCCTGCAGGGCTACATAGAGAACGAGGTGGATCTCAGTGCGGAGGAGACATGTCGACATGATTGCGCCTACTACCAATCCACGAGAAACGATAAGGGTTGCCACGGGGACGAGTTCTGCTCCAAGCAGCCGAGGTGCCGGGGTGGCCTGTACAACTGCCAGTTTGTGGAGTCTGACCTGAAAGTGTGCCAGTCGGCGGAGAACTCTCACAGGCGGTACGAATTCATTGAGGGCGGAGGGGGACGCCACCTTGGAAGAGCTAAAGCGTGTAGCAGGGGAATGGACAGAGCTAAAAGCTGGGTTAGCTGGTTTGTCAAGTGCAACTACTGTTTCTGCCTGTGCGATGAGGAGGGGCCCCAGTCGGATCGCTACTTCAACCTGCGACCAGCGACCGCCGATATAGGACGGAACAGGTGAGTTTGCTCTATAATGGTCACCGCTACTCACTGTTTCTCATTATTCGGAAGCTTATCCTTTCAGAGTCGTCACTGGACTGCGATTCATAAAGCACAATCGCATCTTCCACCTTCAAATCCAGGAGGGCGAGCTCCTGACACATGGAGTCATCAACGGGACCACTCTCCAATGGAAGCCCCTGGACTCTTACAGCATCTCAGATAAGGACGTTAGGCAGGACGTAGACTACCACGCGCTGAGCTACGAAAATCGATCCATCAATCTAGTTGAGGTCAAGGATGACAACGACTTCCTGGTGACTGGCTTGCGATTCCAAGTGGTTGGAGGTCATCTTAATCTGGAGGCACAGTTCACTGGGTTTGACTTTAAGAGCGGCCAGCTCACTGAGCAGACTTACTGGTCGTCAGCGAACAACGAGAAGGCCAGGTACTAATGCTACTTGTATAAACAACAGGAATAATATTTATATTGTGTATTTAACCCGTAATTTCTTAAGGAGAAAAGTGGCCCTAGAAAACTCCAAGGTATCCTCAGAAACCTTCACATCCTCGGAGCCTTATCCCAGCGACAACGACCAGTATGTGGAGTTTACAAACTCGGGCCTTGAAGAGGATGCCGCGCAGACTACTGTGCCTCTAATTGACATCCAAGAAGTTGTCTCGGAGCCTCCGTTCCCTCTCTCCGGAGTTGGAGTCTACTACAAGGGCAGCAAGGGACACGGTGGCTACGTGGCTCCCAAGCTCATTACCTACGACTTCAGTCAGAAGATCGAGTTACCCACAATTTAAAGTCGTTGGTAAAGAGAAAAGAAAGTAAAAAATATCAAATAAAATAAACTCAAGCGTTGTTTAAATAATAAAATTATTTTTATTGGATTTAGTCTTATTTTTGTAGCAGATGATATAAAAATCACATTTTTTAACGATTTTAAATATTAATTTGTTATAATTTGGAAGTGTTTGTGTGGGAAGAGTAATATTTTTTCAAATAAAAATTCCGCTTGTTTTTCATCATGGAGATCATATGGTATGCCAATTAAATAAATATTGATCATTACTCAAAGTGAAGTTATATGATTTATCTAAAAAGTTTGTAAACGCATATTTGAAATATTTTTTGATTTTTGATCAATCATCAATGGAAGCCGAACTGAGGGCACTACCGCCCAGTTGGTTATGAGCTATCATAAGTATGTCCTTCTTTTCCTTCGGAAAACGCAGCTCTCGTCCAGCCATGCGAAAGGTTTCCAGCTCTCTCTCGGCCAGCACCAATTCGCGGCGAATAACGCCGGGACTGTCGTGTTCCCTGGCAATCCAGTCCAACGCCATTTGTGAGCGCATCTCGTCATCAAGACTGCGGTTGGAATAGTGAGCCACCACTTCCTGTCTGGAGCAATGACGTTCGCGCATTGCCTTGAGGGATCCATTCCAGTGAAGCAATTGGAAGACAGTCATAAGTTCTTGGAACTCAAGCATTGTTCTACCCTTATTTGCTTCCAGCATGAATCTAGACGAAACAGCAGAGTTAGTTTAATAAGTTATTACCGCAGACGACGACCACTCACCGGAAGGCGCCGATTCCAGATTCCGTGCCCTCGTTGACCTGGGATGTTGTTCCTTTGAACGAAGTCCGGGCATCCTGTACTGCTTTCTGTATAAATTCGTCACTAATTCGACGTGAAGGGTGTTCATTGAATACCGAGTTCATCAGAGCAATCTTGGCCGAACTGCGTCTGGCTTCCGCTTTTGTTGGACAGTTCTGAAAGCTACCAAAGCAACTACCTCCTGGCAGAGTTACGAAACAAATGTATGGCTGGCTATTGGCTGGGATCGATTCGTAAATAACAAGAGCTCCGTTTTTTAGTTCAGCTCCGCGAGATTGCTTCATCTGCCAAAACTCTTGTAGGGCTTCTACCACATTCACTGAAATACATACATACATATGTGAACATATGTGGGCTTTATAGTTTTACATGCTAGGTTTACCTCTATAATCTCTGTCCTCGTAAAATCCAGTGACCGTTGGTAGAACCCAAAATGGTTCTTCGGGATAAACCATTGTCTCGATTATTCCTTATTCAGATGAGCAAAGAAAGGTATTTTTGCATAACTAATACCGCATGTCAATAAGTTTCTGCAAAAAACGAGTAATTTGATACTTGTATTACATATGTACATACATATGTATTTTGCAGACGACTTTTCAAATATCCATATATGTATGTACATAAGTAGCGTGTACATTCTATGTACATAACTGCACATTAACAGTGAATTTTCTTTAGAGAGGAAACGGATTACATAGCATATGTTTACATATGTACATATCCCACATTTGTATTGTTGCACTGGTGACACTGCCATTGCCACGTCTTTAAACATATGTACATCGCAACATCATATACATGTCTTTCGACGTGAGTTTGTTGCCTAAGTCTTTTGATTACATCTTGCGGAATATATCAAATTCTCGGGTTTAGCTTTCTTTTGTACTATATACTGCACAATTTGAACAAAGCAACAGATAAAATACATATTCAATTTGCATGCATTCACAGAGGGGTTTAAGCAAGTACAATTTTTAATTAGTTTAATTGAATTGTATTAGTAAACCTGCATTTACATTGTGATTGGTAAGTTTAATAGGGTCAACTTTTCACTTTTATTTTAGACTTTTGGGGCACCAGCGCAGTTAAGGTCACATACGAGCCGAGACGAAAAACCTTTCTGCTGCAGAGATGTAAAAAAAACTAGATACATTACTGTGTTCCAGTGCTGCCAACTTGTTGGCTGCCGGAAACGAATATAGCTTGAAAAAGGCCAGTTGATACATTATCAATATATAAAGTAATTATAAACAAATTCATAAGAAATCGCCATATTATAATTATTTTATTAACAAGGGGAATATAATATTGATATTTACCACTTATGATAAGAAATATTAATAGGAAAATTTAATTTACTTGTATACTGTAGAATATATTACTAAATATTATTCATAACTTTTTATTAATGGTTAAAACTAAGAACATATATGACATATTAATTACTACTAGAGTTTACTCACGTCACTAGCCACAAATATTATCCTTAAATACATACAAATTCTAAAACATAAAAATTTCAAGTTATCTAAAATAGAATGTCAACATTGACGAAACTCGGCAGGGGAAGATCAAAGAACGATTCACATTCCTCGTTTTCAACACTATCTAAATTATATAAAGGTGGATTTTCATCGAAATCGTTGCCTAACTGTGGTATCTCTTCATTGTTCCAATCTTCCTCCAGGGTGTGCATGTCATGTAGAATTCTTTCGCACAAATCATCAAAATCACACTGCTTTTCCAGCCAGGTTTCAGTAATTGCTGGAATTGAAAAACGGTACAAGGCTTTATTATTGCAATTAACACCTTATATCGCTGCTTACGTTTGCTGCATTGTTTTGCACATCGCTCAGTCGGAAAGTCCGTGTAGTTGAATAAATTGATGGGCTGGATCGCGTCGCGCCTCACCATGTAAGAACCCAAAAAACAGCTGGACGATTTGACATTAACCTCCTCTCGATCCCTACCTAGATTTGCAGGCATTTGCTTGGCAGCCTTTTGAATCGATAGCTTGGCAATACTTCCCTCAAGTTTAACAGCATTGCTGCTTTTAAATGGGGTAATTCCTGGCGTTAGATGCATTACATTGTCCAGTTTTCCCAGCACACTCTTTTTTACAGTTTGTTTTAACGCTGTACTGCCAAGAGGGACTCCATTTTTCATAGGATTGGAAGGCACTGGAATGTTCAAGGTCATTACTTGGTTATTATGTTCAGTAGAGCTGTGCTGCAGTAACTTACAATAAACGCCAGCATTCTCCTTGTTTATGATTTGATCCATCTTTATGTATAATGCTTGTCAATGGTAAAAATATTAATTTGATATGCCTACTGAATTGTACAATGAAAAACGAGCGGCACAATTTTAGAGATGTGAGAAGCGCAAATGTCAACTCGTTGTGCTGTCAATTTGCCTCAAATTAGAAACGATGGAATGTGAAACACTTCCAAATTTTCGTCATATGGTGCAATTCGATTAAGAAAAAACAACACATTTTCTTTTACAATACAAATATTTGTATTATTAAGTAAATCCTCTGCATGCACTTGGTCAGAATATATATATCAGACAGGCCGAATTAGCGGAACTCTAAACCGGTGCGAGCGATAGTCACGCCCCTTTTATTGCGACTTGACATCTGTTCGATTGGTGGAATATTAAATATATCGCCTCAGTTCCATCTCTATTTAAAAAAAAATTTGTTGAGTGAATATAAAGCTTGGAGATTTTCTGCCGGAAAAATTGCAGTGGACATTCAAGTTTTCCACGGATATTAAATAGTGAAACTATCAAATACATATTCCACCATTTGCTAATCATTCAACTTTAACTGAAGAAACGATACAAAGACGTGGCCATGGCGTCCCATCAGTACCATCAAATTGCAAATTTGCTGGAAAAAGTATGTATAGAATTTTTATCGCTCGCAAATATCATGAAATGTGATGGAGCCAATGGCTGCTTCCTTGGCTGCTCCAGATGACGTCGACGGACAAGGACTTTCGTTTCATGGCGACCAATGATTTAATGACGGAACTGCAAAAGGACAGCATTATACTGGACGATGAGTCCGAGAAAAAAGTGGTGAGAATGGTATTGAAGCTGCTGGAGGACAAGAACGGCGAGGTGCAGAATCTGGCAGTGAAGTGCCTCGGTCCGCTGGTCAACAAGGTGAAGGAGATCCAGGTAGAGACCATTGTTGATTCGCTGTGCGCCAACATGATGTCAAACACAGAGCAGCTGCGCGACATATCGAGTATCGGCTTGAAGACAGTAATTGCGGAGCTGCCGCAATCCTCCAATTCGCTGGCCCCCAATGTCTGCCAGAGGATCACCGGCAAGCTGAGCACAGCCATCGAGAAGGTGCGTTCGTGCCTCCTTTTGTTTATGGCCTTTGGCCTTTGCTTACCTCCTTTTCCTCTTTGTAGGAAGACGTCTCCGTCAAGCTGGAGTCACTGGACATACTGGCTGACCTGCTTTCCCGCTTTGGCGAGTTTCTTGTGCCCTTCCACAGCACCATTCTGAAGGCTTTGATGCCCCAACTGGCCTCCTCCCGACAGGCTGTGCGCAAGCGCACGATTGTGGCTCTGTCGTTTCTGCTTATCCAAGCCAATAGCAATGCCTATAACGGCGTCATCGATCACCTGCTGGATGGCCTAGAGAATCCACCGAATCCGGGTGCCATTCGCACATACATCCAGTGCCTGGCATCCATATGGTAAGGAACCAGGCATTAGCTATTCGCGCAATTCGTTTACACCTCTTCCTCTTAGTCGACAGGCTGGCCATCGGCTGTGCAACCACATTGATCGTTCGATGCTTCTGCTGAGTCAGTACAGCCAGCGAGATGACGACGAACTGCGCGAGTTTTGCCTGCAGGCCTGTGAGGCTTTCGTTATGCGCTGCCCCGATGCCATAAATCCTCACATTCCCATGGTAAGCTCTAAAATTGCAATTACAAAAGCGTTAGTACTCATTGGGCATCTCTTAGATCCTTGAGCTGTGCCTGAAGTACATCACCTATGACCCGAACTACAACTACGAGACCGACGATGGCGATGCTGGCAATGCCATGGACACCGAGGACGATGAGTATGTGGACAGCGAGGAGTATAGTGACGACGATGACATGAGCTGGAAAGTGCGACGCGCTGCTGCCAAGTGCTTGGAGGTGTTAATCTCCACGCGCCAGGAGCTCATCGAAGACTTCTACCGGAGCCTGAGCCCTGCCTTGATTGCTCGCTTCAAGGAGCGCGAGGAGAATGTAAAATCTGACATCTTCCACGCCTATGTTGCTCTGCTGAAGAACACGCGGCTGAGCGATGATGTGGCCAACGATCCGGACTCAATGGAGCAGGTGTCGGGGCCGACGTCGCTCTTAATTGAGCAGCTGCCGCTGATTGTAAAGGCCATACAGCCGCTGATGCGCGAGAAGTCGATGAAGACGCGCCAGGATTGTTTCCTCCTGCTGCGAGAGCTCTTGAATTCGCTGCCCGGCGCCCTGGGCCCCTACTTGGAGAGCATAGTGCCCGGGATAAGCTATTCGCTGAATGACAAGAGCTCCACGAGCAACATGAAGATCGAATCTCTGGGATTTCTGTACTCCTTGCTGCAGGGTCATCCGCCACATGTCTTTCATCCGCACATACCATCGCTGGTGCCCCTTGTGGTGACATCAGTGTTTGATCCCTTCTATAAGATAGCCACTGAGGCGCTTCTGGTGCTGCAGCAACTGGTTAAGGTGATTCGTCCGCTGGAGACGAGTGCTGGAAAGTCCGACTTTGATGCACCGTCTTTTGTGGGTCCGGTTTACTCGTGCACCCTGCAAAAACTCAAGGTGACGGACGTCGATCAAGAGGTTAAGGAGCGCGCTATTGCCTGCATGGGCCAGATCATTGCCAACATGGGCGATATGCTGCAGAGCGAGCTGGCCGTTTGCCTGCCCATCTTTATGGAGCGTTTGAAGAACGAGGTGACCAGACTGAGCAGTGTCAAGGCTTTAACCCTCATCGCCGCCTCTTCTCTGCGCATCGATTTAACGCCGATCCTCAACGACGTGCTGCCCGCCCTGGGTACATTTCTGCGCAAGAACCATCGCTCCCTGAAGCTGCATTCGCTGGACCTCATCAACAAGATCGTCATCAATTATTCGAGCAATTTCGAGCCGAATTTGCTGCAGACAGCCATCGTGGAGATTCCGCCACTAATATCCGACTCGGATTTGCACGTAGCTCAGTATTCGCTGACGCTTTTGAGCACTGTGGCGCGCCGACAGCCGCAGGCGCTGGTGGGCATACACGAGCAGTTCCTGCGATCGGTGCTTATATTGGTTCGATCGCCGTTGCTTCAGGTGGGTTAAAAACAATAATTTATATTATAAAATATATTAATACGTAAACCTAACCTTTTCCTTACAGGGAACCGCATTGAACTGCACCCTGGAGCTCTTCCAGGCGCTGGTGCAGACCCAGTTGTCCGGCTTGGATTACCATTCCCTGGTATCGAAGCTAATGGCACCCGTTCTAGGTGGCGGAACGGATGGCGCTCTGTTCAGGGGCAGCGCGGGTGGACCTTCTGCAGGTGCACCTGGCAGTGGTGAGGCGGTGCAGCAGCTGCACAAGCAGGCATATCATTCGTCGGCAAAGTGTATTGCTGCCCTTACACAGCAGTGTCCCCAGGTGGCCACGCCATTGGCCACCAAGCTGATAACGGATCTGCAGAAGCGCAATGACACCGAGATTATATTCTGTTTGCTAACTATCGGCGAGATTGGCAGGCACTTTGATCTAAGCAGCATCCAGGTGCTGCCGCAGACGATTATTGAGTGCTTTGGAGCCACCTCGGAGGATGTTAAGGCGGCCGCCTCGCATGCCCTGGGCGCTGTCTCTGTGGGCAGCCTGCAGACATACCTGCCATTGATTCTCAACGAGATTGAAGTGCAGCCGAAGCGTCAATACTTGCTGCTGCACTCTCTTAAGGAGGTGATATCCTCGCTTTCGGTATCGCCCAGCGGACTGGCTCAGTTGTTGCCATCGGTGCCATCGATTTGGACGCAGCTTTTCAAGCACTGCGAGTGCTCGGAGGAGGGGTCTCGCAACGTGGTGGCCGAGTGTCTGGGCAAACTAGTGCTGGTCAATCCGGACGAGTTGCTGCCGCAGCTGCAGCAGGCGTTGCGTTCGGAGAGCGCCACCATGCGCACCGTTGTCGTCTCCTCTGTGAAGTTTACCATCTCGGATCAACCGCAGCCGATTGATGTACTGCTTAAGCAGAATATTGGCGAGTTCCTGTTCGCCCTACGCGATCCGGAGCCGCAGGTGCGACGCGTCGCACTGGTGGCCTTCAATTCGGCGGTGCATAACAAGCCGAGCTTGGTGCGTGATCTGCTGCCAACTCTGTTGCCATGGCTCTACTCCGAGACGAAGGTGAAGAGCGAACTGATCAGGGAGGTGGAAATGGGCCCCTTCAAGCATACCGTTGACGATGGCCTCGACATACGCAAAGCGGCATTTGAGTGCATGTACACACTGCTCGAGCAGGGCTTGGACCGTGTGGATGTCATGCAGTTCTTGGACCATGTGCAGGCTGGCCTCTGCGACCACTACGACATCAAGATGCTCACCTACCTGATGACGGCACGTCTGGCCATCCTGTGTCCCGACAAGGTTCTCCTAAGTGAGTAACACACTCTGGCTTGCACTGGAACTCGTAATAACTTGATTTTTCTCCTCAGGACTCGATCAATTTATACAGCAACTACGTGATACGTGCACTCACAAGGTGAAGGCAAACTCTGTGAAACAAGAGTACGAAAAGCAGGACGAGCTGAAGCGTTCAGCCCTACGTGCTGTGTCAGCCCTTTCGCAAATACCCAAAGCAAGTAAGTAAAGGGGAAAAGTAAAATAATTGAAAAAATATCAAACTACAATTCGTTTTATAGACAAAAATCAGCAGCTAATGGATTTCCTCAAATCGATCAAAGAGACCCCGGAGCTGAGCAAGATCTACGATTATATTCAGAAGGATTCCATCACCGGTACAGCAGATATTATTGTAATGGATCAGAGCTAAAAGTAAAACCCTGGGCTCTCGAGATTCCTTTACTTAATTAAGAATATGATGCGTGTTGTACGCACACACACAAGTATCTCTTTTCTGATATAGCTTTTAGATTTTCTAAATAAGAAATAAATGCAGATCGACTTGAAAAGCTGTGTTATTATAGAGCAGAGCACGCAAATAATCTTTTAAATATGAATCAGATACAGGGACTATTATATAAACGGACAGCGGCTTATCGTTTCGTTACAAGCATTGGAAAGTAATCCAATTGTTATTTATCATCTTCGTTTTCCGTTGTATTAATTTTATACATTTTTGAATATTTTATATATATATTTTTTTTTTTTTTAGGCTTATCGTTTTTGAAAGCTATCGACATTCAAGTTGAAAATCGAAACATGATCAAATTGTAAGGATGAATTTAGGATTTTACATTTGAAAGGGAAATTCTAGGCCGCCTGCTTGGATCTCTTTTTTTCCGAGTCTTCTGATAGGGCTTTACCTATGCCATCATCCGTTGTTGGCCCTGTTTCGGAAACCGTCTCCGGAGGATGTTCGAGGACGTGATCGATTATCCCCAGGGTCTTGGCCTCCTCGGGGGTCATAAAGTGGTCACGCTCCATTCGGGCACACATCTCATCGTATGAGTTATTCGCATGCTTTACATAAATTTTGGTTAGCTGCCGCTTAATTTTGATGATTTCCTCGGCATGTATAAGAATGTCTGTTGCTTGACCCTTGAATAAAAGAGAACATTTTTTGTTTTCCGCTTGAATCCGCAGCAAAGTGAACTTACTTGTGCGCCGCCCGAGGGCTGATGTATCATAATCCGGGCATTTGGCAGCGAGTAACGCATACCCGGTGCACCTGCCGCCAGCAAGAGGGAACCCATTGAGCAGGCCTGGCCCACGCACCACGTAGCAATCGGTGGCTTGACGTACTGCATTGTATCGTAGATGGCTAAGCCAGCAGTCACAACACCGCCCGGGGAATTGATGTACAGATGTATGGGCTTGTTGACATTCTCTGATTGCAGGAACAGCAACTGGGCCACCACGGTGGAGCTGATATCATCGGTAATGTTGCCCATCAGGCAAATAATCCGCTCCTTTAGCAGACGTGAAAATATGTCGTACGCCCTTTCACCTCGCCCAGTTTGCTCCACTACCATGGGAATCAGGTTGATGTTGCGGCGAACCAAGTTCGTCCGGCCCATACATGTTGCCTGGAATGGGTGCTTTATTGCCTGAGCTTTGCTAACAAGGTTTCAACTTACGGAATTATTTTGTAACAACCGGCTTACAACAGTTTTTAGCATGATCCTTGGTTGTTCTTCTTCTGACCGCAAATCAACCGGATTCGCTATGTTATGCAAAACAGCTGATTTGTATAGGCTAAGAGAACAACACACTTTTATTCATAGCTGACACAACTGACACGAATGAAAATGAAACACTGTTGAATCGTGTTTGGCATTTATCACGAAGGTCGTTAAAGCTCAATTTATTTTGGAATATGTTTTTCAGTTTAGAAATGCTCTAATTAAGTTTATAATGAACAAATTATTTTATTTTTAATCTACCTGTAACTACCTGTTAGGTATAAATATAATTTTTAAAAAGAAAATGTATTAGTTTATATTTTGTTGGGTTAATTGTATAAATCATCGCTTTTGGATTAGCAGTGTATTCCATTCCAATGTTCCACGGGGATTTTTAAGTATTCCGAGGCGTTTTGAAGCTTTTCTTTAATTTATCTTTAAAAGTTTTAAATCTTAGATATTTTATTAATTTATTCTTATTATTTTGTTAATTGTGCAAAGAAAAATACGAACAACAAAAATTCTTTATAATTTCTTAATTTTTTTTTTCAAACTTTTTAAATAATAAACTTGTATAATATAATAGAAATATAACATTTTTTAATATTATATTTGTAAGCCTAGATTATTAGATGGAAAAGTACAATTTAAAATATTCTTAAAGTAAACCAAATAGAGTATTTAGCAGTTGCAATTTCATAATTGAGCTCTATAATACATTTTTTTTTTTTGCTTTTATTGCTTTGTTAAAAAATTGCTTAGTTTGTCAATTCATTATACTATACCAACTCTTTTTGGCCATTGCGGAAACGCCGGCAGCTATGTGGAAACTTATAGCTCTTAGCTGTTTATGGGGCTTAAAATATTATTTGGTGGCTTCTGAAATAAAAAACGGAAACTCAACTGCCTTCGATTACAAAGGCGAATTCGAAATATTTAAAGTGAGAGAAATCTGTTATATCTAAATAGAAAAACTGAAAATATCTTTATTTTGTAGAATAATAACAATAGAAAGTATCTACGCAACTATGACGAAATGAGAGGCTTCAAGGCCTTCGAAGAGAATTACAAAGTTATAGAAGAGCACAACCAACAATATCAGGATGGCCAGACAAGCTTTAGGTTGAAGCCAAATAATTTTGCTGATATGGTAGGTGGTATTTCCATTCAAATAACACGATTTGCCACTTTAATTATCACTGATTTTTGTATCCAGAGCACAGACGGTTATCTAAAAGGATATTTGCGACTATTGAAGAGTCACACAGAAGACAGTTCAGATAACATCGCTGAAATAGTTGGATCGCCCCTGATGACCAACTTGCCGGAAAGCTTGGATTGGCGGCAAAAGGGATTTCGGACTCCGCCGCACAATCAACAGACCTGCGGTTCCTGCTACGCTTTTAGCATTGCCGAGAGCATCGAGGGGCAGGTTTTCAAGCGCACCGGAAAAATCCTGAGCCTAAGTCAGCAACAAATCGTGGACTGCAGTGTGTCACATGGAAATCAAGGATGCGTTGGTGGGTCTCTGCGAAACACTTTTAGGTATTTGCAGAGCACTGGTGGGATAATGAGGGCCGAAGATTATAAATACGTTTCAAAGGTAATTTTAGGAACCTTCTTAATGTAATTCACCGAAATCGGAAAAAACCTTATCAGATTTTTAAAGCTAAAAAAACAACTAGAGCAATTGTAGCAGAACGGAATAATTGTATTTAAAAATTTTTCAGAAAGGAAAATGCCAGTTTGTTCATGACTTATCGGTCGTCAATGTTACTTCTTGGGCCATTTTACCTACTCGAGATGAGCAGGCAATTCAAGCCGCAGTTACGCATATCGGACCGGTGGCCATATCAATTAATGCTACTCCCAAGACATTTCAACTATACAGGTAATCAGTACTTTAGTTCATTTTAATTTTAAATTTATTATTATACTTATTTTCAGCGATGGCATATACGACGATGCAGCGTGCTCTTCATCCTCTGTTAATCATGCCATGCTGGTTATAGGCTTTGGAAAGGATTATTGGATTTTGAAGAATTGGTGGGGCGAACTTTGGGGGGAATCGGGTTTTATGCGGATTAGAAAAGGGGTTAATATGTGCGGAATTGCAAACTATGCTGCATATGCAGTAGTTTAGTAGCTTAAATTTAAATAATTTCAATTTCTTTTTTTATTTTCAAAGTTTGTTAAGGGGTTACATTCTAAAAAATCGACAAAATTTTAAAACTAGTATTCATATTTGTTAACATAGAGAAAACTATCACGGCTATTAAGCTTTCCGCATAAAATTTCTTGAATTTCTGACTTAGTTATAGCCGATTTTTGATTCGATATTAATGAATTTTTAGCTTAGTTATATTGCAAAGTTATAATTATTGCAGATTTCTAAAATTAGCTTTCTTTCTTGCTTTATTTCAATTTAATTTAAAGACGTCTTTAATCCGCACTTTATAGATACATACTGTCCTCAATTCGTAATCTCTTCGTTAAGGCTGAGCTAACTGCTGAAAAAATAAAGAGTAACAAAGTGAATTAATGTCTGGATAATACACTGTGCTACACAACTCGAGTTTTCACTAAAAAAATTAAACAGCTCAGCCCTTTTTTTTTGCCATATTGAGAAAATAAATGTTATGTATAATGTTATGTATGTTTTGTGTTGCACAGTGTCATTAAAAGAGCTGATGTAATGAGTTTTAAAGGCGTGGCAATAAGCCAAGTGGAACCCTTTTATTACACAGCACTGTGCCCGCCCCCAAAATCAATAAAATGGGACTCCCCCCTTTTTTGGAGAGGTAAATACGAACTAAAGCACACGAACGAATTTAAAAGTATTTATGAAGTGATAAAAGCCAAAATCCCTTGATCGGTAACTCTGGTCGCTGTTCGCTCCTCCCACAAACTGAATCATTTATGGCAAATTATAATGCGTTTCGTCGCCCGCCTAATGGATACATTGTATTCTATAATGGCCATATAACCAATAATAGGAAAGTAAGGTGGAATCGCTCTCAGCGGTGCAACCACTTTGGAATTACGGGGACGCGTCGCCTCTGTAGACCAATGAGAGCAATTTAAAGGACCGCCGTAGGCAGGACTTCACTTCAACTTTACAACTGCTCCTGCTTTTGGGGGTTGATTTTTTGAAGGTAGCAGCGGCGCCGCGAGAGAGAATGCGCCATCCATATACGGAGTATGCAAAGCTGGAATATAACAATTTTAATTGAGCAAAGTCAATAAGTTGAACTATTTAAATTTGTCTGTGGTGTCCCCATCCTCGAAGGGTTCGTACTTATTTTTGCCGCCGAAAAAACGACTTTCCCCTCTGGCTCACTCTCTCGCCGAAAGTAATCAAAGAAATATCGAAGGATTTGGTTAAGCCTTGAATGACATGCGCAGCAATAAAGAGCCAAAGTGAAGTGATTAGGCACGCCGAATGCCATTGGTGTTGACTATAAAATAGTCGGCAACTTAGTTTCGTTACAGCAACTTATGCTCGAACGCGCGCAAAAAAAAAATAATAATAAAATAATTAAATTAAGTACCAAAAGAGCATGGAGCAGTTGGCACAGTTTGTTACAAAATCATTTGAGTTTAACTTAACTAACAACAGTGTCCACGCCTTGTTCAATTCGATGACGGGCGCGCGAATTAAAAAACACACGGAAGTGAAAAACGCCATATTCATAAATTCCATTTCCGCTTCCGGCGGCAGTTACGCCGATACGTGTGCCAGTGGTGACGAGTCCGTGGATATAGACATCACAGATTTATCCGTCTCCGAGAGCAATACAATTATCGCCGCCGCATCCGTTCCGGAACCGACGACGGAAGAATCACTTCCAGAGGTCGAGAGTGTGGAGACATATAGCCCAAGTCCCAATATTCGCAAGACAGTGGCAGCCGTGGCAGTGTCAGAGCCAAAGCCCAAAAACTGGCTAATATCAGATGATTTGGAAGTGGAATCGCCGCCGGAAGGTAACATGAGAGAATAAAGCTTTTAAATACTTAATCAGACCCGTCGGGAATAAGAGTCTACTAATATCGAAGTCTTCGGATATCTATACTTGGAATATAAAATATATAAGGAAAAGGTTTTTTCTTTTTTATTGCCGTTGCTGATCAAGAATATATATATATATATATGATTTATAAGGTCGAAAATGACTCGTTCTTCTGACTTCTGATTAGCTTAAAATGCATAAAAAATTTACCCAAATTGTTTATGTTATTTTTTTGAGAAATCAAAGTTTAAAAATAGAATAACTAAGTCAAAAAATCATCAAATTCAATTCGGAAAGCTTTTCTATGTTTTCTGCATACTTCATTTAAAATTAAAATTTTTGACAATTTTAATGATGTAACCCCTTATAAAATTTGAAAAAAAATGAAAATATTTTTTTTCTTTACAACCTTGCTAAAAAGACTCGCCTGTTCATGCTGATCAAGAACATATATAATCTATGGGGTCGGAAATGACTCCTTCTTTGTTTTACAAGCTTCTGACTAAAATTATAATACCCACCCTTCCAGGGTATTATAATTTATATTATATATTTATTATATATATTATAATAAATATCCGATTAAATGAAGAGATCTTCGAAGACGTTCATGAAAAACATGATTTAAATCGGAGCCCAAAATCGAAAACCAACCCAAAAATAAAAAAACGTAAATTTTATTTGTTAATATTCTTAGTTCCATGTGTCTAAATTGGGTTTTTGTACTTCCAAAAATCACTTTAATCTCTTAAATCCACTTTACCTGCCATCCTTGGAGCAGTAGACTGCGATCAACCGCTCTGAGCCACATTATAGCGTCGCCAGCATCAAAGTTGTTCAGCCTCTGGCAGCGGCAATGCAAGAACATGCCCAAGCACTTTAGCAATTCCGAGGTGGATGCCTGCAAAAATGGTCATCAAGTTTATATATTTACAAGCGAAGGCTAAAATATGAGACTTTTTATTGCTTTTAATTTAATTTTAAAGGAAAAAAAACATCGATTTTTCTCCAGTTTTTCCGAATTTAATTTTTCTGAAAGCTCAAGATGCACATTGTTTTTCAAATTCAAAATAAAAACAAGAAAGAAAGCTAACTTTGGCCAGCCAAAGTTTGTATACCCTTGCAGGTAACAATTAAAATA